AACTGATTCTCCACAATGTCGGTTGATTCAAGGATAGATACAAAGATAGGTTTAGGTTGGAAATTAGGAGACATTTCTTTTCAGAAAGTAGCCAGGCATTGGAACTGGTTGCCCAGGGAAGTGGTGGCATCACTGTCCCTGGGGGTGTTCAAGGAAAGATTAGACATAGTGCTTAGGGACATGTTTTAGTGGGTGACATTGGTGGCAAGGAGATGGTTGGACATAATGACCTTGGAGGTCTTTTCCAACCTTAATGATTCTATGATTCTATATTACTCCAGGTATCTTACCATGATGTTGTAGCACAAAATGGTGAGATGCCACCAACTATGCAGTGGGATCTTTTTTTTTTTTTTTTTCTTCTGTCTAAGCATTTTTAAGGCACTGCTCAGTCACCTTGTAGATAAAATCAGCATAATTGTCTCCACTTTTAAAGGGGTGGAAAGTTCTTATACCATTTTTCATTTCAAATCATTGACTGTGGTCCATCTACCTCAGTGGCTGTCTTTCATGAGAAATGTTGATGGGTTGTGCTTCAGGATTCATTACTGAAGAAGTTCTGTGCAAAATTGGTGGTCTTGCATTACATTGCATACTATCAAGGTGACTTGTTGGACTTCACGGCTTTTCTTTCCCATCCATTAGCAGAAAATACAAGTCATTAGCAAAAAAATCCTTTCAACAGATAGCATAATTGCCATTTCTGTCTTACTTGATGGAAAGTCTTGTTGTGCTGCATGTTTTCAACTATGTACAACAATCTTCACATTAAAATGCAACAAATTAAGCAGAGCTTTTACAAAAGTCTTTTTTTTTTTTTTTTTTCCTAACAGTTATAGACTGCAAATGTTATGGCTTGCTTTGGACTGAAAATTTCAGTTAGAGGCTGAACAGTATATAACAGAGATGCCTAAATAATGAGAATTAAAGCTCCTTCTGAACACATAGCTTGCATGGAGTCATCAGGCTTAGGGAAATGATTAGGGTTGACATACTTTTCTATATTTTCTCTCCTGTTTCTATGTGTTTTTTTTTTTTTTTCCCTAAGTTTTCTTTGCACACCTTACATTGGAATTTTGACATCTTTAGATTGTAGAAGACATTCTTTTTTATTGTACTTAATTTGTGTCTGTAGAGCTGTTTTTTGTTTTGTTTTCTTTTGTTTTTAATTATTATGATTCCATGATATGAGCCCAAAATTGTTGACCATGGCCTTTGTGGCTTTCTCCACAGTCTGAAATGCTACAAGGACATACTGCCTTCTGTGTCGCCTTCTCTATGTCAGCCACCATAGCTACCAAGAACAGCCCAGCCCAAAATGACAGTGTGGAGATATTACCATTATTTGGACTCATCTGACTCATCACACTTTTCCTTTACCTATCGAAGTGAATGGTAGCCAGTCTGACGCTTGGATTTACAAAAATATTCTTAGGTTTTTGGGGACTCATATTCATCTCTGTCAGACTTTTCCTTTATTCATTTGTGAGCTTTGTGAACTAGCAGCCCCACAGCATTGCTGTTCTGAGGATATTCTGATATATGTCTTCAAATAGACAAGACACCTGTGGCCATACCAACTCTGGATCACCCACCATCATTTCCTTCATGACCTTTAAAGATGTCAGATGAGACTATTTTTTTCCAGTTGCTTCATTCTGCACTAGATGCAATTTCAGGTCCCAGAAGTGAAATCAGGCAGCACATTAATCAACTCTCCTCCTCGGTCTCCTCACTTCCGTCTTTTCATAGTTTATTTTTCTGGGTAATATAACAGCCTTAAAAACAGAGGTATATTACCCTCCAGAAATACATACAATTCCAATACCCATAGCAGAATAAGCTCATTTAGATGAAAGGAACTATTTTCTTTTGGTAGAGTGAAATACCTTATCTGCTTCTGCTTGGATTTTCTTCAACAGTTATGTCTCTATGGTATATGAGACTGACATTGCATGCAAGTCATCTGCTTGGTGTATTTTTGGTGCATTGTCAAAAATATATTTCCCTTAATAATTCTTCAGAGTATGGCATTGCATGGATCACAAAAAAGAAAAATCTGCATTACTGAAGGAAATAAAAGTACAGAGAGGTTTAGAATGCACTCAGCTAATGTATCAAACTTAATGGCTATCTCTGTAACTGGAAGGGAGAGAAAAATTGTATCTGGACCACCTCTTGTTTATTCTTCAATGGTGTTACAGTGGCCAGAATGCTTTTTTGGCATGCTTTTACAATGAGATGTATAGCCCTGATCTTACAGGTAAAACACAAAATAGTGCAATGTAGAAAGTATATTTGGAAAGGAAGAAAACGTGCTTGCTTCATGTGCCAGAATAATTTAAATCAAATTGATTAATTTATTGCATAATTAATGCAAGATGGTTATTTCAGAATTTCTTACATGTAGGAATCTTGGCATAATATAAGACTGAAAACTGATAGAACTACTTTTTTTTTTTTTTTTTTTTCCCCATAAACTAAACTGTTTCTTAGACTCAGAAACTGTTCCTCAGACTTAGAATTACAAGTGAAGTTATTTTTCTGCTTTAGTTCAGGTGCAAAAATCCACACATCACATTAAAAAAATAGAAATTGGTGTAGTATCGCTTAATTTTGTTCCAGAGAAAACAATGTTGTCACTGATCTCTTTCACTTGACCCTGACTGCTTATTATAATGTTTTAGGTGCCATAGCTCAGGGTTTACCATCCCTTGCTTCTTGCCCATTTGTTTTATAGTTACCAAGTGTTGTAAGACTTGGAAAGATTAGTGTGAAAATTATAATTTGTTCCTGTTCATTAAAAGTGGATGTGGAAGAAGAGTTAGCAGCAAATGTCTTTTTCTGCTTTTATGATAAAACCCTAAAGGGCTGTATGGCCTCAAGCTGCTCAGCATTAACTCATTCAGGTCCAGGAAGTCTGATTTTGGCTGGGCCAGGCCGAGGATTGGTCACATGAGGTGGCTTCAGATGAGTAAAGCAAGGTAAATTGTGTGTTGGAGGAAAACTGTTTATAACAGCTGCATCTGAGGTATTTTTCAACATGTGGTCTTTTCAGTAGCCTTGCTTTAAGTAAGAGAACCAGAAGTAACTACAATTATTTCAGGTTCCAGGCCAAGCTTCTTTAATGATGTGCTTAATTCAGAGCAGTGTTGCATCTCATGGCAGCCACCATCTCCTGATGCCATTGTGCAATTTTGTAATAAAGTAGCTACCATCATTTTTTCCTTCCGCATTCACATGGACTAGCATATTACCTACGGTCCATAAGCCAGATGTCAAGCTTGCTTGCAAGTAGCTTGAGGAGACTGATAGCAAACATTAATATCTTGAGAAGGTCAAAACATTAGAATTATGTAAATATGAATTTAGACGACTGCCACGAATAATATGGCATATAAACTGAAAATTGATGTAATAAGCAAAATTCTTTTACTGAGTGAAATAAAGTCATCCAAAATGAATGTGAAGTATCAAAAACATGTTAGACCTTTACTGTTTCACTGGTAAGAAAAGCTATTGCTTTCTGTGCCTTCTGTGTGCCGATCAAGTAAAGAACAAGCAGTGGAAAGTACCTCACACAATTATTTCAAATGCTTTTATTTGAACAGTCATGTTTGAAGATATCAGGAAGCTCTTTTTATAGGAATTTAATTTTCAGGTGTGAATTACAGAAACAGAGGGGTTTTCACTGAATGTGAAACCTTCTTCAATAGCTAGCAAAATGGTATATAGTCCAATCCTACAGTTCAGGCAATAGATTTGATCCTAAAAATGTCTTACTAAAAATAACTAGCACACAGCATTAAAAGTCTACTCACATTTTTAAAAATTTTAATTAGATTTAAATTTTAAATTGAATTAATGAATTAATTTTTAAATTGAATTAAAACAATTTACCCCATACAATTTAGAAGCTGAGCTTTACATTTTAATAAAAACATAAAAGCATGGTAATAGAATGCAGACATAAAATTTTCAAAGTTATTTTTACCTGAACTTATTAGGCAATTTAGGCATTTTTCATATTCAAAATGACCTATTTGTTTACTTATAAGGTAAGTTAAAGAAAGATGAAATGTAGAAAGAAGACTTGCTGTGCACTTGAACTGGACTGTGTACTCCAACTCTGAATACATCAAATTATGATGTTACAAAGAAATACTAAAGCAGAAAAATTACATATTATATTTGCATAGGTTGTGAAAACTTGTATGCCTTTTTTATTCTCCTGGTTATACAAAAGAAACTGTGAATTAACTTGATGGCTGCTTGAAAGGATTAATTCAGAAACACAATGTCTAAGAAGGACTAAAAGCCCTGGAATACATTTCTAACAGCTTCTCAGTTTGTGCGAAAGTGTGGTTTAAGATCTATAATTTTAAATGTAAATATTTATTTTAGAATCAGAAGATGCTAGGCTGCTAGAAACACTTTGTCTACTGAAAATTTCAGTAGGTAATTTCATATATTTTATTTTCTTGATACACACAGTAGTGTCCTGAATCATCAGTTTTTTTACTGTGGTCTACTCTACTGGCCACTAATTCAAATGAACAAACTTCCTCAAACTGTTTAGGAAAATGAATCTGTACTTCCACCTTCACTTAGTAGGTCATCATGTTCGTATTTTAGAGGCAGTTCTCCACTTCTAGCCCTTCCATTTTAGAGTCCTCCAGCAGTCTTTTTTTCTTTCTTCAACATACATTTTCATTGTGTTTGAGAAACAATTTTATGTAGTCAAGCATATTGTATGTTGTAGATAGTAATTTGTATGGTACTCTGTAAGCAAGGGTAGGAAGTCTGTTGACAAGGTGCAGAAGACCTTAGCTGAACTTTAGTAATAGCTGTATTACACACAGTGATTGCTTACATTTGACTGGACGTGTGACCCACGCTCTAGTTATTATGATAGTAGCAGTTGCTACTCAACCACTACAAGGCACCAAAGGCAACCTCATATGGCAGCTTTGCCTTTTTTTTTCTTCTTTTTTTTTTTCCAAATAGAGCTGAAGAAATTACTGTCTGGTAGGATTTCTCTGCATCTTTCCCTGACTTCTGTTCATACTTCCTATTTTTTTAAGCAAATGCTGGAAATGTAATTAGAGTGTGTAATGGTAGTTACAACAGCCCCAGAAACATGAGATTGATTCCCATGATGGATGAAAAACACTCCATGCAGTATGTATAAACAGGCCCAATTTCAGAGTTCTAATTAACTTTATTAATGTTTAGTGCAGAAAGTAAGAAGGCAACTTAAACAAGGATATAAAAAGCACTGAAGCATTGAAACACTGGTTTCATGTAACTGACTCTTATTGAAAGACATATTTTTCAGCATTTTGTAAAGAAAAATAGAGTAATTTAGTAGAAAGATATTAGATACCTAATACACTCTTATAATAAGGAAGCTTTAAATAATGGAGCAAAGATACTAATAGTATCTTCCTACTTGGTAACATAGGTAGCAATTCTTTATGATGTGCAATTAATAAATATGATAGCGAACATGTAAGAATGTACAATGACAGTGCGATAAAAGAGAAGCAATTATGTGCAAGTTTCCTATTGTGCCAGCAAATAAGACTTTATGGGCTACTGGAAAATGAGTTTGTGAAAAAACACTTGTAAAAACCTTTTCCATTATATGTTCTTTTTATAGAAACATATTACCTCACTCACATGTGAAAAGATAAAAAATTACATTCGTAAATAACTGTGAAGAAAGACCTTTTGCCCGCTATGGACACAACTGCAAAACATTGCATTCATAGAAATCATATATATTATCTTGATATAATCATTATAACTAAACTTAATAGAAGTGATATATTATTCACACGTAAAGTATATTATTTGCATAGATTCTTTGTTTACTGTCCATGTATTTCCCTTTTGTAAATGCATATATAATTAAGCAAGCTTTGGTACTCTTCAATGAACTCAAACTAGAACATGGCTGAGAAATTTATATGATATACATTTCCCATTACTATAATTGCAAATGATGCTATAATAATACTTTTTAGATAATAAAATCTCTTCAGAATAAAAAATGTAGTGGAAAATATAAGACTGACTTTCCTGTATTTACTGACCCTTATTCCCAGGCATGATGATCTAACAATATTTAAAAGATACTCTACTTCTATTTTGAGAAGCTCTCAAAACATGTGGTCAGCAGCCTGTTGACTAAAAGGATTGTGTCTTGGAATAATTTATTATTTGTTTCTGCTGACATTTTTTTGTGGTCTCAGTAGGTGAAATATATAACAAAAGTCTTTTTGAAGTTAAGCAAAACTACAGTATCATTTTGTGGAGTCTTGCAAAAAGTTTAGAAGTAGAGTATTAATACCTAGGGAAGTTTGGAACTCAAAAGTATGTGATGTCAGTAGTGGAAAATTAGTGTATCTTGAAGAGATACACTTTTATAGCTTGTCTTTAAGTTTTGATTTAATCCTTTATATTATTACTCTATAGTGCTCGCAGTCTTGCCAGGAGAGCTTCTACTTCTGGAATGGCTTCTCCCTTAGAAGGAGACCCAATACGCTCTGTTTTCTTTTCTTTGTTTTCTTCTCCATTACAGGCTTCCTTTCTCCCAACAGTCTTGCTCCAGTGCCATAGAAGAACTTGTTTCCACATCATAAGTAACTTCTTTGTTGACTGGGCTTTTTGTCGATTTTAAACTGATACTGTGGTGTGAACATGACTTCTCTGGCTGTGACTTTCTGGTTCTCTGTAGAAGACAGAACAAACAAACTTAATTTCAATATTAAAATATTCAGTTTCAATACTTTGTAACAAAAACACCTCTTGACCAGACAAAATTTTGTATCTATGCAGATGATGCATTAGAGGGACTAATGATGGCCGAAGAGGCAAGAAAAAAAAATATCACTTCAAAAGCAGGGGGTTTGGTCCTCTGGAAATGATACAGACTTTACATGACTTTGTTGGATTAGCATCCATATTCCCCATGAAATTAAGGACAGAGCCTGAAGAGCCTTCTTTCTCACTGAAGTCAAAGATAAAACAGAATACCCAGCAATTCACAATGACTTCAAAATTTTTATCTTGTTAATTACATTTCCTATATATTTTTTAATTGATCAAATTTTAAAATGTTTAAAAAATCTATTTCAATTTATTTATCCATTGTAATAATTTTTCTTTCCTTTGTGATATTTTAGGACAGCTAAGTAATTTTAAAAATTTGCATAACTTGCTACTTTTTGCTAAACATCTCTGGTATTAACTGTCTCAAGGAGATGCACTCAGTTAAGATTTGGGAGCTTTGGTGGGTTGACATGCATTAACAGACAGATTGCTTCCCCACACCCAACACCAAATCAAGTGGCTGTTTGCTGTACCAGTACCTGAGAAGGTCTCTCTCATAGATCTCCAACTCTTTAAAAACAGGCATACTCAATATTCATGTAACCTTGAACAAGGCTTGAAAATGGCTTCAACAAACTTGACATGACATTTAAAGTTTTTTGGTTATTCGCTGAAAGATGTTCCATCATCCCAATAGTAATGACTTTGGAGCACAGGCAGTCACTCATGACAGTGTGTTTTATGTGAGAGCTGAAAATTCCTACTGAAAACAGCTTGTACATTAAAAGGCAGCTGCTGAAGATATTTACTGCACTGTCATTCCCTGACCAGGGGCTCTCGGTGATGGATGAGGATTTTACACACTTTCTTGGACAATCTCAGCAAATTTTACAAGTACAATCACCTTTTGGAAAGTGGAAGAAAATAATACCTTCTTTCTACCATCTTCTAAATCAGATAAACAATTGTTAATTAAAATTTGATAATAACAGATTTTCTTCACTTAGCTGAATGACCCATTTTTTTTTAATACTATGAAAAATAATTTGACCCTGAAGATGCAGCAGCATACATTTCAGTTTTTCTGAATCACAGAAGGCCAAAGATTGGAGATGAATACATCTTTATAATTACACATAACAAACCCAACATATATAATTTAAATATCCCATTCCATTTAAATGTTTACATTTATTGATTCTGAACACATATTTGTAGGTTGATAAATGCATGCTACCTGTGTCAATATACAAAATACTAGCTACATCGTAGCCCTTTAGTTTGCACTCTGTTGAAGACAACCTAGGGGCAGTGGGAAAAACTCTTGGTGTTTTGAAAATCAATACATTTTAAAGCAGAAAAAAATAATCCTCATAATCACAGATCAAGTGCAGATGTGTACTATGTACCAAGATGTGACCACTTTGCAGCTCAGAGCAATCTTCACCACAAAATAGTCAAGCACAAGGATCAACTAAGTATGATGAACTACACTGAATAAAAGATGAAGCGAACATTTAGCATGGACGCTTCAAAGAAAAATCCACCAATATTTACCACAGTTTCTCATACTGTGCCTTAGAGTGACTTAGAACAGCAAATAGGTCAAAGGTTGGACTCGATGATCTTGAGGTCTCTTCCAACCCAGAAATTCTGTGATTCTGTGATAGTCTAAGCAAGAAACTGATTCAGGTTAGATATTAGGATCTATCCCCAGTCTCATCCCACTTTGAAACTCTGATTCAACCTTGCACAAAGATGTCTTCCATAACTTGCTGCTTACAATCTAGAATTCTTGTGTGGGGATAAGTGAATGAACAAAGCTCAGTATACATTTTTCTTTTTTCATTTTTTTTCCCATAATAATTGGAGCAATGTCACTGATAATCATGACTTTCTAGGCATAGACTAGGTGAACAGAGTCAACTTGAAAGACCAGAGTCCTTGCTTTCTGTTTGAGGGGTCCTGCAACAACAGGAAATGTCATTAGGAAAGCGCTTTAAACACCAGCCAGTTTATGTGAGTAGTCCTCATGTTACTTGTTGTAACTCCTGTGCAGTGAAGAAGCCACAATTCATTGAAACAATCATATTTTCATTTTCTTAATACATGATACTCTAGTGATTAACACACTTCCTAAGAAATGAGAACATTTTGGTTTCAAGCTGTGTTACAAAAATATTGCAGGACTAGTGTCAATTCAAAAAAAAAAGAAAAAAAAAGAAAAAGATTTTCTCTGACTCCAGTTGTATCATCTTAAAGTTATTTCTGATGCTTCCTAAATCAGGTGGCATCTTTTCCCTATATGTTATTTCAGTCAAGGAGGGTTTTTCTATATAGCACTGATATACCTGCTATGTCTATGCACGTCCATTTTGCTATGCCTATTGTGTCTTTTGTATGCCATTTTGCCATGCCTGTGCTTGTCCATATTGCTATATGTATTGTATGTCCCTTAGTAGCAGATTTGGCTGTAGGCAATTCCAAACTTATTAAACTGCCTGTTATGATTCCTATTCAGAAACACTGAACTTTGCTGGGCCTGTCTCAGAAAACATATATACTCACAGTCTTACATTTCACTTTGTTAAGCATGCATGTAAAAAATGAACTGCTGCAATACTTGAGGTACATATGTTTCTGGTGGTATTTTTTGTAGTAGAATGAAGGATCACTGCTATTTAAGTCAGAGTTTAAAACTAGTTAGATACTAGGAAGAAGAAAAGGAGAAACTGTCACTAATTAATAAGAAATAATATTTTCTACCCTGTCAGTGGTTTATTTTAATACAACAGGAATTAATTTGTGTTAACCCCAAACTCTATACTGTTTCACACACTAACTCAAAGCTTTCATGTGTTAGTGATTTGGTATCCCATCCATTCCAAAGTAATTTCTTTGGATTACTACCAGAGCTCCCTCAAATCCTATACTACAGGAACAAAAGTGCATTTTCAGCTTACAACTGATGGATGGTATAAAAAAGCCAATGGACCATACATGCGAGTGTGACTGAAACCATGACAGTGAGTTAAAAACTACAAGGCTATGATCTGCATGTAACATGTTCAGCATGTAACCTGGATCGGGACAGTAGAAGAGCTTGTTTACTTTAGTGTGATAAAGGCTAGGAAGAATATTGCTATTTACTTTCAGGAAAGGCCCCAAAACAAACTTAACTGATAAAGTGAGCACAAAAACAAATAACTATTACAATATTTCTGTTAGAGACCTGAATATTTTGAACCATCAGACTAAGGAAGTTCTGGAATGCACATATAATAAAGTGAGAGCAAAAAAATATAACCAGTTATAAGGAGCAATTCAATCTGTTTCTTAAGAGAATACTTTTTATATGTCTGTCTGCAACAGCAAGGAAATGGCTTAGTCACATTGGGCCACCATTTTAATACTTTCCTCTCTATAACAAGGGTACCCCCAGAAGATCCATAAACCAGGCAGAAATAACAGACTTTTTCTAAACTACTTTGAACCATTACACTATGGACATTTATTAGCTTTTGCTTTTATTTGGAACAAAAACTATATTTGAAACTATATTTTGAAACTATATTTGAATCAACTCGCAGAATAAAATAAATACATTTACACATCATATATCTTGGTTCAAATACAATGTTAACTGAAAAGAATAACGTTATATACAGTTAAAAGAAAACTGCTTATGGAGAGGCACTTCTAGGTGAAGTCTTGTTAATAAGAAAGCTTACATTGCAGGAGATGCACTACTTGTCCACCTACTGTAGCGAGGTGTACCTTCATGCAGCAGCAAGACAAAAAAGAAAGCAGACATTAAAAATCACTGGATAAAGACAGAATTTATTAATTTGCTGTACACATTGGACATAGTTGGCATCCGTTAAGACTGTTTCTAATGCTTGGTCACTCTTAGCAATCAAAAACTGTCATTCACCTGTATTATAACAATCACCGTGCAGATGAAGATAAAAGAAACAAAACCTTTGATTTCAGAGTTAAGGTTTCTAAAGGCTGGAGTGAGAAAACATTTACCCATAACAGTTTTGACTTTACCACTACTAAACGCTTCCAGGCATGGGTTAGGCAGAGATTGCATTGTACACTACTGAAGTCTCAATGTTCAGATTGTATGACATTTAAATCCTATTGTAGGTCCTTGACATCTTCAGACCTATTAAAATTCAGTTTTCTCAGATATGAATTTCCTGAACATTGCTGTTAATCAAAAACATTTCAAACTCATATTCACATAACCTAGAGCCAAAAAGCTACTATCATCTTGATGCAAGTCTTTTAAAATTACTTTGATTAACAGCAATGCTCACGAAATTCAGTTGACAGAAAATTGTGCTTAATAGCTTTCCTTAGTTTAAATGGTGTCCTAGCATAGAACAACTTACAATAATAAGCTTATAATCTATTAAAGGCTGCATACTTTATATTCAGAAAAAGGAAATTGTGTAATGTGAACAAAAGAAATCAGTAATATGAGACCTGCCTGCTGTGAACCTGGGGAAACAAAATATGATCAGTTGGAGATTTTAAAATCCTGCCTAATGCTGTTGTATATTACCTTTAATAGTGAAAAAAATGATTGCAAGAGACTTACTGAAGTAGAGATATGGATTTTTTTAAAGCCACTAATAAATATTTAAAATAAAAAAGTACTTTGAAAAGCTTTATTTCATTGCATAGTTTCTCAATAAAAGTCTTAATGCTAAGGACAAACTTGCTTTTTATGTAAATACTTGTACACTGATTGAAAAATAAATTTGTAAATACAATAAGGAGAACGACATTACATGGCATTATAAGCTTGTATTACAGTCATACATCTCAATGTGGGGCATGATGAAATAATATAGGAAAGAACAATTGCAGTTACAGACTCATTACATCTTTTACCAAGTTAACAGGGAAATTGCTCAAAGACCCAGTGGACTTATTTCCTATCTGTTTGGCTTGTGCTCCACATGCCACATTGTACTCCTGAAGCTATGTCTATGATGATAGGTTTTCTTCAGCCAACACTTACGCACCAACCTTACCACCAACGCAAATTATTTCTTACATTATGAGTCATGACTTACTTTTGCTAGAAGATATTCTGGGGACATGCCCCAGAGAGTAGCACGATATGCTGATTTTGGATGCAACTGTACAGCACTCCCATAAGCCTGAATATTTTCAGCAGTCCAGCCTCAGTCTGGAAGTCCCATCCATCTTCCACGAATTATACTGACTGCACCATCATGCATGTGCCAATGAAATCTTATGTATTTAGAGCATGGTCACATAAAATGGGGTTTGCAAGGAGATTGATGTATGCCCCCATCATCCCTGTATGTTCTAGCTAAATAAAGACAAAGCCTTGAAAAGTTAGTCTGGAGGTATCCGTGATGGATTCCCTTGCCTATACCGAAGTATTAACCACCCATAAAGTATTAACGATCCATTGGTGCATTGCCGTAGAGGAAAACAGCAAAACAGTTTTCAAATATGAACTACTTTTTCTGAGGTAAACTAGGCAATAATGGCTTATGTTTCAACTGGCTAAGATTTACTACTGAGACAGACTCTTAATTTTGAAAGGCTGAATACAAGCACAGCTGGCAGGCATTTTGAGGACCTCTGTTTTCAAGTTCAGGACAAGATGGAGGCTTCAGAGGCACCTAGCTTCACCTCTAACAGGGACAGCTATATTGGATGTTGGCATCCTGGTGCTGCCATCCAGATGTTGGTCAAAGTATTTGGGGAGATGCAGGGCTCCTCTGTGAGGTGAGGCCGGGGCTGCCCCATGGCGGACAGGGCTGGTTCCAGCTGGCTCCAAGGGCCCTGCTGTGGGGCAGGGCTGGGTCCAGCAGCCCTTTGTGCTGTTCGTTGCCTCCCGGAAGGGACCACATGGAACCTTATCTCGACCCATGACCTTTCTTGGTCCTGCTCTTCCTATTTTCCAGCCCTGTCCTGCTGGGGGCTTGAGCAGCAAACAAGTGGCTGGCTGGGGGTTTGGCTGCCACCCAAGGCCAACCCACAATAGCTTAGAGATAAGAGGACTCTATCTGTCTTCTAGCATTACCTATTTTAATTTCCCAATTACAAAGAGAGAGAGGGAAGGAGGGAAGGAGGGAAGGAGGGAGGGTAGGAAGGAAGGAAGGAAGGAAGGAAGGAAGGAAGGAAGGAAGGAAGGAAGGAAGGAAGGAAGGAAGGAAGGAAGGAAGGAGGGACCCCTTCAATTTTCAAATTGTGACTCCAAACTCTTTGCTTTTTACTGTTAGAAAGAACAACACAAAAATCGTTTTCTTGTTTTCTTCTCAAGTTGAAAATGAGGGTCTCATTTCCCACACTGCCCTCTCTCCCACTCCCCTCACATTTCTGTTAGAGCTTAAGGTACAGGACACAGGTGAGCCATTTTTTTTTCAGGCACCTATCTTTCCTTAATGTAATTTATACAGCCCAAAGCTTACCCCCTGAAACCCATTCCCAGCCTTTGGCATTGGCATTAGAAGACAGAACATCACAACACCTAATTCTCTTTCTTAAAAGCCTGCCTTACCACCCAGAAGGAGAATTTGGATGTAATAAGAAAGACTGCTATAGCTAGAAGGTCCATGCCTATCACGTAACATGACTCATAAAAAATGGGATATCTCCTTGCTGGATAGTATAATGGAAAATACTTTAAATATATTTTATTGTCACTTTTTATTAGTTTCATATTTTTTTCAACAATTTCAGTGACTGACAAGGGCAGGATTGGAGAATGTCCCCAACATATTAAAGGAGCGCTATGTGTTCTTACGACTTGTTTCAGTTATACCCTGCAGCCCCAGCACCTAAAAAGTGTTAGCTGTACTGAGATGATCTTTGTTTGATAAGTAATTACTTACACCTTTATATTTCATGCTCACAACTTGACTAATCCAAATCAGATAAGGCATGGAAAAGTGTTACTGAAATTTAGAAGACTAAATAAAAAATAAAAATGTGCATTTAATTGGTACTGCTGTTCAAGTGTTTTATTAAGAAGCGTGAAATGCAAGGAATAAACACTAATCAATACTTCAATTTAAGATGAGATTCGCTAAGTTTTCAGAAACACCAAATATTTTTTGTCATTTCACAGGCAAGAAGAGAATATGTCAGAACTAAGTGAGACTAGGATAGAGGATTTATAGAAGCTAAATTTCAAAGCTAATCAATTATAAACTGTGAGCAAACTAATTTGTGAAGAAACGAACTGTGCTGGACCAGCTCCCTTTTACCTGGCCCTACAAAAAAAGCCTTTCAAAATTCTTTTAATCCCTTGCCTACCTACATTTTTTAATCCCCTACCTACATCTTCTCAAAGACTACTCTACACTCCTGTTGATCACTCCATTAGATCTTTTTCCTGTTTTTCCAAATGTACCTTACAGTTGTGTAGAGATGGGACCACTTTCTCTTTTTAACACACTCTCACCTCTAATATGGCAATGACTTTCATTACAAGAAATGCAACTTTAAGTTACTGGGATTTAAATGAAAGTCTAGAGTGCCTGTCAAGATGAAAAGAGAACAAAACTGTGCATCAAACTACTGACAAAATTCATCCAAGCTTTTCATGTGAGGGAAGAAACCTATGAGGGTGTCTGATGGCTAATTCAGACTTATGTGTTTAGCTTCCTCCCTGTTTCAGTCTGCATTCCGTTTTATCTTCTGTGTCTTGTTCTCATATGCATCTTTCCATAAATCAAGGTATATTGTGGAGTTCTTAGAAACTGCAAAACAGAAACTTCCAAATTGGAAACCTACTTATGGTCGCTATGGATTCCTACAGCTAATGGTTTGAATCATCCTTAAAAACCTAAATGGGTAAGTCTCTTAATTAAAGGATAAATAATTTGGCATGACTGTACTATTAATAAATACAAATTAATCTTATCTGTGTTGAGATTAGGGGTGTAAAAAGATAAATTTCGATCCTATCTGTATGGATGAGGCACAACCAATGACAGAAGGCTTTTCAGTGGATTGAAATGTTATGCAAGTTAGGTGTTTATGGGATTTCTCCCAATGTACAACTAGAATAAATATCACCTTTTTCTTTTCTTCAGAACAGGAAACGATTGGGAAATTATAATGATCTATGATAAAATATGGCAGTTAACATATTTGGACTATTTTACATTTCTGAAATGTGGTTTTATTACTTGGCTTTTTACTTTGTACACAAGCATATTGTAGCTTGCCATTTCAAATCCTTTTTAGAGTTAATAGAGTAAAAAATCATGACTATAAATAGGTGGTTTGTGACAAAATACATAGAGTTCTGTAGTCTCAAGTTATACTCTGTTCGGCTGAAGTTAATTTATGTAGATCCCACATACTATCTTTGAGCAGGAGATGCATTTAGTCTCCAAAATATTCTGTATAGTCTCTACCTATACATGAATACTGCTTTCAAGGTACACTTTGATAAAGAATTTAAGGAATATGCATAAAGACTGCTGCCATCAAAGGAAAGCTACAGGCAGCTGCAGTGGGTAATGATAAACAACATGCTGATGAAAATAACCAAAATGGAAAAGAAACACACAAATAGTGGCTTTCTTTTACCAATTGTTGTGCCTTCCCCCCAACACACACACCATAAACAACAAAAAAACAACAGTAGGGAGCCTCATTCTTCTGAAAAATAAAAACTAAACAAACCCAAGCAACAAAGCAGCAAGTCTTAAAGAATGGAATGATATTGATGAGATTCCATGCACTGCAGTTCTAAATCACGTTGTTGCTTC